CAATTTCATCACCTTCATTAGTTTCGTCATCTTTCGTCAGTTTTGTCATCTTTCGCTAGTTTCGTCACCTTTCGTCACCTTTTTCCAGTTTCGTCATTTCGTCATTCAAGATTTTAGTTGACGAAAGACGAAACTAGGTTTCGCATTTCGTCAGCGTGAAACCTCAAGGTTTCGTCTAACAACTATATTCCCGCCGTTGCGAAAAATAAATAGTGCTTATTCACTATTCTTATTTCACTGATTTAGTAGCATCAGTGAATGTATTTAAAATGTTATTTCTTTATATTTATATTGAATTAGTCTGTAAGTATAGTTTAAAATATGACAAAAAATTATTGCCCTCCTTAAGTTATTATATCTCAGTAAGATTATAAATTATCTGCCATTTCTCATTAAGTCACTTATTTAGCTAATTTAGCCGGAAAGTATAAAATAATTTGATAATCAAAGTATTCGAAAGCAATGAATGCACTTCTTATTAGTTTTATTAGCTTATCGTGGAGCTCTTACTCGGGTCAACGGGTCAAACAGAAATTCACTTAATTAGAGCTGTTAGTAGAGAACAGCTGTACTCCAATTATTTAAATTGAAATTCTTCGAGAAAAATTTTCGATCTTGCTCGTGATTTGAGTTCGCCCATTTTCTACACCGGGAAATAAAAGAAGCTGACCCGCACGGGTTAGACGACCCGGGTAAGAGCTTTACTATTTAGTAATCTATGAAATAGGTTAATCATGGTAAAAAAATAACCAGATCACAAGATCAACGATCGCTCCGGCCTTTTTGACTTAGCCCGATAAATCAAATGCTACATGAAAATTAAATCAATATTAATATCATTAAATATCGTTAATAACTAATTGTTTGGGGAAGTAGAAATTACATATCTAGTACCGAAATCAATGTTGAGGAGTAATTTTAAGTAAGATGAAAGTAAAGCATAAATATTACCCCACAAGAAATTCAACTGATCGTTTCGAAAATTTTTCATTATGCATACATAGTTGACATATCGAATCTACGTTAAAAAACTAATTAGAAAGTTATATTTAAACGTTCTCTAAAATTGAAATAAATAAATCATTACCAATCGCTGCATTACGAACATCCTGATATGCATCTTCTAAGCCATGAATAAATGCGCCGCAAGCACTAGATTTCAAAATACGCAATTCTGCTTCTAAATCGCCTTCAGGAGTTGGAATAAACCTAGGCTATCATTATATATGTGTTACATTTTGTTTCGGTAATGATTGATCTAATTATGCTAACAACCGTATATACTTTTTTGCTTTTACTGTGGCCGGTAATAGGCTTCCAAGACTTTCCATGAGTAATAATCTCTTGACTTAACGTTTCAAGAAGAATCGATTCATTAACTTGATGATAGCTTCCCATTATAGTACATGCCTGTTTGGAAAAAGAGCCCAACTTGTCGAGCATATTCTAAAATGAATCATTATTTATAATGATGATTACGTTAATTCCCAAGATTTACATTGGAAATCTGTCGATGCATCGGCATACCTTACTTCTGACCTTTACAGATCTGTCATTTACCATATCGCAGATTTTGGTAAAAGAATCATCTAATAATCGAATATTTTGGATTATGCCATCATCCAACACATAATTTTTCATTTCTTGAGGATAAATAGTACTTTAAACCCTAGAATTTCATTGAATAACCTTATTTGATATGGTCACAATAAATGAATAGTTCAAATTCAGGACTTGCCATATTAAACTCAATGCTCCAAAGCGAACTTCTTCTGAGTCATCGGTTAAGCAAATGACGCACAAATTGTATAATGACAAATCTAGTTTACAACCACGCTGATGTAGATGAAGAAATGCCCTGATCGCAGCCATAAATAATAACGGAATTACTGTGGTGGGTAGTAAGTTGGGGATAGCCGTAGAAGAAGATGGTTGGAAGAGTGTTGTTGGGGAAGTGTTTGTACTGGGAAGTAGTAAGTGGTGTTGGAAAAGGAAGAAAGGGTGGTTGTTGGGCATGGGAGTTATGGTTGCCAGGTATAATGTTGAACTTGTTCAAATTTGGTTGTTGTTTTTAGCACATTACGCGTCATGTTATGTAGTTTGAATTTTTATTGGTTAATTACGCGGCGTGACAGACGTCTTGTGTAACCTGATGTCTAGAAGTATAGTGTCCTCAGCTACGCTTCAGACAACAACTAGAAGTACAGTGTCCTCAGCTACGCTTCGGACAACAATAAAATTTAAATTAGTTAAGGTTATAGTTGTTAAACGAAACCTCGAGGTTTTTGTGCGCTGACGAATTTCGACTTTCGTCAACTAAATCTCAAATGACGACGAAACTGACGAAAGGTGACGAAACTAACGAAAGGTAACGAAACTGATGAAACTGCAAAGGGTGACAAAACTAATAAAAGATGAAGTAACAGATAAATGTTGTTGAAACTCATTGAGGATTATGTGAATAAAAAACAAATTGCAAAATTTTTATTATATAACAAATGTAAGTAAGGGCACCTCGGATTTCTATATTTTATGTTCATAACGGGCTAAATTTTAAAATATACAATTTATACTTAGATTAAGTTTAACATGAAGCTTAATAATCAATTAAGTAAATCAGAAATTAATTATTTTACATATATCAGTATTTCGATTAAAAAATACTTGTTATTTCTATTGGCTAAATTGACTTGAATAAAAGACAAATTAGCACAGATAATAAATTAATAAGATGTGCATATATTGTTTTCAGATCTTTGATTATTGTTATACTTGCCAGTTAAATAAAACTCAATAAAAAGAGATCCATATTTTTTCACCGACAATCACTTCATAGACACCACATTTAACCGACAATTATTTATCGCCAAGTTTATTTAACTGACAGTCCATTTCACAAATTTTAGAATTATTACTCTAAATTATGATAAACTTTATTGTCGTATCTTATAATTTTCCAGTGAAAAGTTTTTTATCTATAATTTACTAAATTCATAATAATACGTCTATATTATATTTATTTATTTAAATATTCTAGAGATTTTAATGGCTTATTTAACTATTATAATTTCTTAATTGGTTTTTTAAAAATTGTTAGGCCAAGCCAATAAAAGTCTTCAGCATTAAATATAAATAAAAAGCCTAAAAGCCTCAATAATAAATCATTGTTTTTTGTTTAAATATATAGTTTATTTATATTAATAGCTTAGCTTTGCCGAAAACATAGAAGGATTTTGTCACTTTAAGTTTAGGATTTAGACTTTCGTCAAAAGGATTTGAGGGTTTCGACTTTCGTCAGAAGGACAGAATTTCGGCATTTAGAGCTTGGGTTTCGACTTCGTCATCAAGCAAAAAGGTTTCGTCTAACAACTATAGTTAAGGCAATATTTTTGCACAACGATTCAGCCAGTGCTTCTCTTCCGATTCACCTAGTTTATTTCATCTTAATGAGTTGAAATGATATTTTTGTATAAAGCTTCAGCCAGTGATTCTTTTGCTGATTTATTAAAGCTATTCCAATCTAAATTTAAATTAGTTAGCGTAGTATTTTTGCATAAAGCTTCAGCTAATGCTTTTCCTGCTGATTCGCCCAGTCCGTTTCTACTTAAATTTAAATTAATTAAAGTAGTATTTTTGCATAAAGCCTCAGCCAGTGCTTTTCCTGCTGATTCACCCAATCTAAATTTAAATTAGTTAACGTATTATTTTTGAATAAAGCTTCAGCCAGTGCTTTTCCTGCTGATTCGCCTAGTTTATTGCTACTTAAATTTAAATTAGTTAGCGTAGTATTTTTGCATAAAGCTTCAGCTAGTGCTTTTCCAGCCGATTCACCCAACTTATTAGCATATAAGTTTAAATTAGTTAACGTGGTATTTTTATGCAGAACTTCAGCCAGTTCCTTTCCTGCTTCATCGTCCAGATGATTGCGTTCTAAATTTAAACTAGTTAGCGTGATGTTGTTGCATAGAGTTTCGGCCAGAACTATTACAGATGCACTATGAAGTTTTTTTGACCCTAAGTTCAAATCTTTTAAAGTAAAATTTGTATTTAAAGCTTTATCTAGAGCTTTTCCTGCCTCTTATACAAGTGGCCAAGAGTAGAGATCTGATAAAGAGCTTTAGACACTGATAAGACATGCAGTCGAGAATTTGGTATCTCTCGTTCAATTGTTTGATATGAACTTGTACATAAACCTGTTATATTTGCGTCAGATTCCTATTCAATCAAGAATAGAAATAATTTAATGGTAAGATGAGCAAAGATAAGGCAAATTAGCGTTAATTTTATAATCAATGCTGATATTAAATTTAATAGCAAACAATACAATACATGCCATTATTAAATAATTTTCTTCGTTTTGTTTCACCTTGAAAAAAGGAAAGTCAACAATGAGTATAGTAAGTTATAGAATTGATAAAATCTTATACTTAAACATACTTTTATTATCCAATAAAAATTCAATACAGTGCTTTTTTGAATCTGGTAAGTCTATGCTTGTATTTAGGTCGTTAATTTCCTTAATGAATTTTGAACTGTATATTTGCAATTTAAATTTATTAACTTTCAAATTTTTAATGCAAAATTGTATAATGATTATACTATAACGAAACTTACATAATATTGAATGAATAACAACTGTCAGCACTCTTAAAGGAATCTATAGAGCTTAATGTAGAAGATCTAGAACTTTGTATTAAACTTGCAAGCATGGAATTAATAGTAGAATTTAATAATTGACTGTGAGTTTTAGAATGAGGATCATATATTTAGCAATGAATTTCCCAGACTCAAGTAGCTCATGTCGTTTATTTTCAGCTTCTATAAAAACTTCATCCATAACCCAATAGCTAGAATTTATTTTACTATGAATTTCATTAACAGATGGCCTCTTTGAAGAATCAGAATCCCAACATTGTTGCATTAATCTAGCCCAATATAAAGGTGTATCATCTGTAATATCTGGGCGTGATCCATCGCATAGATTAATCATAAGATCAATGTCATAAGCCCGATCACAAAAGGGATGTCGTCCAGTTGTAAGTTCCCACATAATCATTCCTAAACTATAGATATCTGAACTAAACGAATATTGTTTTCCGCTAAATACTTCAGGTGCAATATATGGCATAATCCCATATATGTTAGGTTCTGGGGTTTCCGGATCTTCTTTCGCTGGTCGACTAAATCCTAAATCCGCAATAAAGGATTCAATGTCAGAATTATCTTTCGCTAATTTACCTATTAATATATTTCCACTATGTATATCGCGATGTATAACTTTATTTTCATGAATCCATTTAATTCCTATAACAATATCTCTAAGAAACTGTAGTTTCATTTGCCAAGTAATATTTTTAAAATTATTGGATAAATATTCACTTAAACTTCCATGAGACATATAAGACATAATAAATACATAATTATTTGTAATTGGATCCTTTGAGACACCATAACATTGAATAAGACGATTGTTGTGATTGTCGGAATTAGGATGACATTTAATAATAATTTGTAGCTGCATAAAAAAAAAAAAGAACCTTTGTAATGGTTTATTGATAACTAAATAAGTTAAATAGTTAAATTTATATCCTTACCTCTTTTAAAAATGCAGAATTTATGGTTGAGGAATCTTTAAGAACCTTTAATACAACTGTTGCATTTTGTATCCGACAAAATTCTTTCCTTCTCCTACTCCAACCTTTTGCTATTCCTTTTGTCCATGTAGCAGTATAAACTTCACTAAAACCACCTATTCCAATTCGTTTTATATCCATAAAATCACAGAATGGGACCCATTCTAATCTAAATCTAAACATATTATTATGTGTTGCCTTAATTAAATTGTCAATATCTTGATTTCCGCTATTAACTTTCTGTGTATAATAGCAAGTAGCCATAAGTTATTATTATCATACTTAAGTTTTCTCTTTTTGTTACAATTGATGCATTTGGATAGTTTGGAATGACAACGAATACATAATTTATTTCATTTCTTCCACAAATTATACATTTATCCCTATCGTGTTCCATGTTTATTATTTGTATTTGGAAATTGAAGAGCTGCCGCAATATATATAACCTAGCAGCTTGCGTATATTTATTGCAAAATATATATTTAGAAAATGTTAATAACAGGAGAGCGTAATAATTAAAAGAATAATAATGGATGTCACATGTACTATGTTGATATAGGACATGCTAAAATCAAACTAATTAAAAATGAAAATCTCCCTATAACAATAGTTAAATTTCCGTTTGATTGAAGGAAATATAAAGATATTTAAATAATTGCTTCGAGTCTTTTTTCATATCGATATGGATTGTGTCATTTTCCAGCAGAAGTTTCCAATCGCCACATGCCTTTTTTTGTTTCATTATAATGCAGATTGTGCAGATTATTAAGTTCTAGAATTCTGGTAGCTAGACAAAGAAAATCACTCATTAAATTAATAAGCACTTAGCTGCACGACATTCTCGCGTTAAACTAGGAACGGATGAATATAGCCTGATTTAGAAATGCTGGATAATGTTAACTACTGTTGTACATATGTACGTCAAAATAGAATTGAAATTCAAAATTTTAAATTTACTCAATTGGTAAAGAATTTTAAATTAATGTAAAGTTAATTTCATATCTACTTAAAAATGCTCTTAAATTGTAATATACTGTACGTACTGTAAAGTTATGTTACATTAGATTATTACAAGCATGGTTATTAGGACGACGGCTACTTCTGCAAGGCAATTTTACAATCTAGTTATTCAGTAAGTTTTGCTAATATTTGATATATAACAAATGATAGCACATCTCAGTCAAATTTCGGTCTGACAAAAAGATGCCATAAATATCATAATTATAATTAAGTAATTATTAGATGAACCCTTTTTCACATGATGACGAAAGACGAAACCTAAACCCCAAAACGAAACTTCAGACGAAAGTCGAAACCTAAATTCTTATGACGAAAGTCAAAACCTTAAACATAAAATGGCGAAACCTTATTCTCAAAAGAATTGTTCCCGCTAAAAAAAAATTGCTATTTTCATTGAATTAACATTCATAATTTATTCAGAGATCAGTATCCGAAATTACATGTATGCCGGCAAAAATAAACCAGTCCATTTTTCTGAACAATGCTAGGGTTGTTATAGATCGGCTTATCAAAAAGCCACAGTACTTATGGAATAACACAGATAACGAATTAAAAACATACTAACACAAAAAAATTTGTATGATCACAAAATAAACACCAAGCGATTTCTTACTAGAACTGGTATAGTGTACTAGTATAATGCAATATAGAATACTCTTTTCTAACTCCCTTTAAACAATTCAACCCTATGAAAACTCGGTACACAGAAATGCACGGGTAAGTACGGGTTTCATGATCACTGCACGGAAACTGATCATCCAAAAAATTTAATAACGTAATCACACGAAAAATTGAAATTCGTGCACTATCGTGCACAGTATTATATTCATATATTGACGTGTATTAATCTTAATGAGCACATAATTTCCGTGCACAATCGTTAAGATTCTTAATGATTGTGCACGTTAGTGTACGGAAGTCAAAAATCTTAACAATTGTGCATGTCAGTACACGAAAATTATGATCGTTAAGAATCTTAACGATTGTGATGATCGTGACGTCAGTGTATTGAAATAATGATCGTTAATATTCTGTGAACCGCGTGAAAACTGTCAATCGAAGTGGCTCAGAAACGGTTCCACAAATATGTTGATCTTTTACTAAAAATAGGGTACGTCTAAAGCGGTGTAGAAATATATATTTTATCGAATTAACTTTAGGTTATGGTCATCTTCGATTATTGTTAGAGCAGGCTTTAGATAGTTATATATAAGCAAAATTGCCTTCCCGACATTTTTATTTAGCTTACCCAAAGTTTAGACTGCTGTTTTTGTATTTTCAAGTTTTTCACTTTTTTTTTCTTGTTTTGTTTCGCCGGAGATCATCAAAATTCCATAATTTGATTGGTTGCGTGTCACGTGATTCTGCTCCGCTTTAGATGACCCCTAAAAATAGAGTTACCCAGCTGTATACACTGTATTCACTGTATACGGTAAATTAGTTGTTTAATGGTGATAAAGGAAATCATAGATGTAATCAGTATAATAAGTATAATCAGTATAATCATTATAATCAATATAAGCATTTAGATCAGTATAAGCAGTAAAAACAATATATCGCTCAAACCATGTATAATGTGTCCTAATTAAAAGAAAATATAATAAAGGCTTGAGAGAAGATATTCTTTGTGATTCCAATAAAATTCATTTTCTAATAACTCTATGTCTACTATTCTTGTAAATAAATTATATTTATTCCTAAATCTACTGCCTAAGTGACATAAGCGGTATGATTGCTCTTGCCTACATGATATCATTAATTGTACTAAAACACTGTTCAGTTGATTCTAGAAGTACTAAGAACTTCCATGGTTGTTACTTTTCAACTGTCTTGATGTCTAAGATAGTTGTGGTTGTTTTCCAACTCTTCTAACAGACTGTGGATTGTTGTAGTTGTCTTTTCAGTCTTTTGACATGTTGTGGATTCTGTAGTTCCAGTTTGGGTTATTGAAGAACTCAAGTTGTGGTTATTGTGTTGATAGAAAGTGCAAATGTTAGAGCATTATCAAGGTTTAATAGAAGATAAAAAAACATACCTACATCCAAAATTACCCTTGTCCAAATCTAAATGCCTCTATTTCAACTAAGCCTAATATAGGTTATACAAGATCTCAAATCGATTAGTGACTAACTTGCCATTTAAGAGGGATGTTTTGGGCTAAAGATCATCATAAATCCTTTCTGATCTAATTTAGAAACCAAAATATTCAATTTCTTTAAATGGATATTCTATAGGTGGGCAATATAAAAAATAAACTCCAATAATAATTAGCAATCATTAATAGATATTTAATAAAGTTGTGGAGTTTGCAGAGTTTGCCCACCTATTTTATAAAACATCTCTTTAAACTTCTAGTAATGATTTCTCAGTAACCTTTTGATCAAATTTAGTTAAAATTTTTTATTTTGATTATATATATTTGTAAAATTAAAATAAAAAAAGTTAATTAACTTTGATTTAGTGGTTGTTAAGAAACCTTCACTAGAAGTTTTTAAAAAGCTTGAAATATCTTAGAAAAAAAATCTAAAATCAGCAAAATTTTTCTTTTTAAGTTTAAACAATGATTTCTCAACAAATATAAATCCTATTTAATAATTTTTTTTTAGATTCTACAAGTATGTAGAATTAAAATAAAAAAAATACTGAATTTGAATAGATGGATATTGAGAAATATTAATTAAAAGCTAAAAAATATTTAACTGCAACCTTTTCTTTATAGATATCTAAACTTTTAATGAAGATATCTTATCACTTACTTGAACAAATCTGATCAAAATTTTTTTACTTTAATTTTATGAGACTGAAGAATTAAAATAAAATAAAAATTGATTGAATATGATTAGATAAGTTCTGATTAATATTCGTTCAAATTTTAGATATCTGTAAAAAAAAAGCTACAGCCAAATTTTTTTTTAACATTTAATCAATATTTCTCAACATTTGTCTGCTAAAATCCAGTAAATTTTATTTATCCTGCAAACTTTCAGAATCAAAATAAAAAAATTTTATTGAATTTGGATAGATAGTTGTTGAGCAACTATTGATTAAATTTTAAATAAATAATTTTATTATAACATTCTTTTTCTTGAATTGTTTTACAAACTTTAAATAATGATTTCTCAACACCCATATATCCAAATTTAATGAAATTTTTTATTTTTATTCTGCAAGAACTTAGGATTAATATAAAAAAAATTTACTGAAATTGTATAGGTAGATGTTGAGAAATATCGATCAAAAGTTAAAAAAAATTTGGCTACAGCTTTTTTTTAGATATCTAAACTTTAAATGAAAACTACTCAATACTTACCTAAATATATTCAATCAAATTTTTTTATTATGATTCTGCAGTCATGTAGAATTAAAATAAAAAAATTTTGATTGAATTTTATTTAGTAACTGCCGAGTTATCTTTATTCAAATTTTAGAAGTTTGTAAAAAAAAAAGTTGTAGCCAAATTTTTTTAGCTTTTAATCAATATTTCTTAATATCCATCTATTCAAATTTGATAAAAATTTTTTCATTTTAATTCCGCATAGTTGCAGAATCAAAATAAAAAAATTAATTAAATTTGGATATATGGTTGTTAAGAAATCATTATTTAAAATTTTAAAAAGAAAAAATTTGCTGCTTTTAATTTTTTTCAAGATATTTTAAGCTTTTTAAAAACTCCACTAAATCAAATTTAATGAACTATTTTTTATTTTAATTTTATAAATATATATAATCAAAATAAAAAATCTTTACTAAATTTGATCAAATGGTTACTGAGTAATCTTCGCTAGAAGTTTAAAGAAATTAAATATTTTGGCTTCAGAATTAGATCAGAAAGAATCTATAGTAATTTTTAGCCTAAAGCCTGTTTATCACATGATTTGCCTCTGCTTTCAACACCCCCTACTTTAGGCTGGCAATTCTTAATAATTATAATTTTAATACAATGTGATAATCATTAAAATTCTTATTTCCTGCATTGACACACATAAAAATATTCATTTTATGAGTAAATAAATATTTGTTTTTTTTGTTTTTTTGTTTTTTTTGTTTTTATTTTGGTTTTATTTTGTTTTTTTTTTGATTTTTTTGTTTTTTTTTTGTTTTTTTGCTTTGATCTGAGTAAATAAATATTCACTTCTTTATATATATATATATATATACTTCTAATATTTTCTTTAATTTTTTTTACAACTTATAAATTTTATATTGTTTTTGAAGTTATTCTTGCTCTTTTGGAATCACTGTCATTTTTGATTTATGTTTTTATAGCTTTGTTTTTTTTTTGTTTTTTTTAATTTTTTTTATTTACTTTCTGTATATTATTGCATTTTGCTTTAATTTTTTAATATCTCTTTTGAGTTACTACTATTGAAGTTGTTACAATTAGAGTTAGCACTATTGAAGTTATTACTTTGATTTTTTTATTTTTATTTTTTTGAACTTTTTATTTTGGTACTATTATTTTACTTTGTTTTTTTTTATTTATTAATAGTTTTAGTAATTAGAATATTTTCTTTATTCTGAATATAAATTATTAAATTAAAGTATTTGTATTATAAAATTTAGTTAATAAAATAATAAAATTTAATTAATAAATTATAAAATTTAGTTAATAAAAATTATAAAATTTAGTTAATAAAATTTAAAAATCAGTTAATAAATAATGAATTTAAATGTATATACAGATATATGTTATTATATATATATATATATATAGATATATGTTTTTATGTGTTATTTGCATATAAATATGCACAAGACAATGCATGAGAAACACATAAAATTGCACATTAGTACATGCACTGTTGATAGAATCTGTGCCTAATTACGTGCTGTAAATGTCTTTCCTATACATTGTCTTGTATAAATTTATGTGCAGGTTCATGTAATTCCATATCCAAGCTTTTTTGTATATTGCAGTATCATTATGTGCTGCAATTTCTTATAGAGCAAACATTTGTTATACAATAAAATTTTTTGTAATTTTTATAAGAGTTAATAAATTTGTAACTGCGGTTACTGTAACTGCATCCAATAATAATAATAATAAAGCCAATCAAATTTTAAAATCAGGTGTGACATGAAATCAACAAAAATTGTTTTTTTAAAAAATCATTAATAACTCAAAATTTTGACTATGAAACAATCTTTTATGGTCTAACAAAAAAATTCCTTGCTAAATTTTGGTATAAACTGTGCCTTTTCTCATTCCTAGCCTCACCCTAACCCTAACCTTAATTGCAAAGTTTTATTTTTATAAAAAAAAACTTATTTTGATAATTACATTAATTACAGTTATAGTAACTATGGTTACAGTAACCTACGGTTACAAATCAATTAATTCTTTTTATAAATTGCTGTTTTTGCTGGTTTATTTATTTATATAAACAATCATCAATATTTTCAACATTTATTTATTTGTCTTTTATTAGTTTTGTCACCCTTTACAGTTTCATCAGTTTCATCACCTTTTATCAGTTTCGTCATTTTGTTATTTAAGATTTTAATTGACAAAAGACAAAACTAGGTTTTGCATTTCATCAGCATGAAACCATCTAACAACTATAGTAATGACTCAATTTAATGCTTCATAAATATATCATATTGTCTTTCTCTTAGTTTATGAATAATAAAAGGAAATTATAATTCAATATACTGATACTCTCATTGTATCGACATTCCTGATTTATTGAGACTGCCAATTCAAAAATTTTGACTTATCTCTAGTGATGGCAACGCATGTGACCCGTTCGTAATCCCACATGTGATATATTGTATAATTCTGGCAGTGTCATAAATATGGCTGAATTCTGAAATATTCTGAGGTAAATATAAAAATTTTGACTCATTTCTATAAATTTCTGAAATATAAAAAAAAAAACAACCTCACGAGGGATTTTTAGAAAAACAGCTGATTGCCCATCACTACTTATCGCTCTTTTTGATTTAACTTGGTCATTAGCAAATTTATTAAATTATTTAATCATTAGCTAAGATACTAAATTTAGGTAATATATTAAAATAATTAATTATTAGCAAAAAATAAACAGGTAAATTTGTAGCAATATTATTTTCAAAATTACCTTTTTTTATGTATATATGTATATTTGGGTGACGGGACATGAAAACCTGTAAATCATTTCACTCGTTATCATTGTAGTGATATCTACCCCTATAAGAATTAGGGATATATATCACTACGATGATAATGAGTGAAACGATTTACAGGTTTTCATATCCCGTCACTCATTTAATTATAAGATATTGGTCATACAACGATTAATATTATGAAATTTGGTTTGTCGGAACAAATTTTATGATATTTATCATCGCATTATCCAATATCATGATTTACAAGTCATTATTGGCTAACTGAGTTTAATTCGAGATTGTTGTGCTTATGTAATACTGTAACCTACAATAAAAAAAACTATGATCATAAGAGTTTACAAAAAATAGACGGAGATCAGATGACTGATTTGGGGACTAATTTTGATTCCGGCAGATCCTCAATTTTGATTGGCTAACGGCCGAGGATCTTCAAAATTTTGGCCCGCGTTACATAATTGTTTACAAATTTCTGGCCGGAATTAACTTTTAATTTTTTTTTTACAAAATAGAAATTTTTAAAAAATAAGCCGTATTATGGTAAAATTAGCCTGGGAAACCAATTTACACTTAATAGGCGGTTGCGGGAATGTAGTCACTTCAACTTCGCCACATTTTGTGCGGCTCATTTTAATTATTTAAATATTCCTTTTTATCGATAAATAAGCTTCACAAAATATGACGAACATAAGGGAGCTATCCAATTTGTAGTAACTGACTCACGGAACCTAAAAAAAATTACGATTCAACTAAATTGTAAATTATTATCACAATCGGTTTTTTTTAAGCCACGAACATTTTTTGAAAATTTTTTTTGTTAAAAAAAATTTTATCAAGAAAACTTTTTATTATTTATACTGATAATATAATATAAAATTTCATAATCACAAGAATATAATAAATATACATTATAGAAATAGAATATATCATTTTCTTAATTTTAACCTAAATAATAACTCTTCACAAGATGTAAGGAAAGTAGATTTAGTTTTAAGTGGTACATTCATATCAACTAATTCAACATCATATTTCCTATAAATCATAGTTACTAAACATTTTAATTCAATCATTGCTAATTTTCTTCCTGGGCACATACGTAATCCTCCTCCAAACATTACAAATGAATTTTTAATGTCATCGCCGTCTTCCGATCTTTCACCTATATTTTTATTACTTCCTAAATCATCACCATTGGTTTTATCATTAGGCATATAATTATAAAATCTATCTGGATTGAATTTCAGTGGTTCGTTCCATGCCTCAGGACGTTTAGATAGAGCTCCATAAAATAGTAGAAAAGTAGTATTGGCAGGCCAAATATATCCACCAATCTCATCGTCTTCCGAGTTTAAACGAATATTTGAGGAAATTATAGGTTTTAGTCGAAATACTTCTTTAATTATTGCTTCACAATATTTAAGATTATCTAAATCATTAAGAGTGATTTTTCGTGTTCTATCATCTTGAAATATTAAGTCAAGTTCTTGACGGAAGCGGGCTAGAACTTCCGGATGATGTGCGAGATAATAAACTATAAAGCAAAATAAGTTTGCAGTCTATTAAGACAAATGAATAAAGAATTCAGAATTAAAGAGTTAAAGTTATGAAAATATATAAATTATAAATACAAAATAAAATAACAAAAAACTTACAGTATCAGTTCCCCCAAGAAATGCGTCCATTAAATTTCCACAAATTTCTTCATTTTTCATAGGCCTGACAACTACTTCCTCTTCAAACTTTTCAACGTATTTTCCTTTATGCATATCTCTATCAGTATTTGCAATAATAAAAGAAGTCAACATATCATTCCTTAATTCCTCGCTTAATGGTGTTTCCTCAATTTCACGTCGACGTCTTTCAATTATTTCTGTTAATTTTCCATACAAATACACTTTATTATCCATATATTTACGAATAATTCCTCGTATATATGGAAAATAATTACGAACGAATTTTGAAAATAAACGAAAATACATAATTCCTTCAGCATAAGTTTGAGTACTTTTTATGATACTATTTGATTCAGTTTCATAAGTATTTAACCCACACAACTTATTTGTATAAGAGTTAAGAGCATCACCCTTAGTTCCTATTGCAATTCTGTAAATCATATCATAAGTGAATCTACGCATCCAATCTGGAAGATTTATAATCTCCTTATCTTCTATTAATGCTTTATTCATATCATTATCATCAATTATAATACCAGCTCTCTTCCAATATGATTCCATTTCTTCGACCAATTCTATGGTCCATTGTAATGCATCCCTATCTAACTTTGGACGCATTAACGCATTACTAAAAACCATTCTATTAAATTTCCAAGAACCGTGAATATCATTATTATTAAAAACACCACTATCAACTATACCATATTCTTTTCCATCAGGATTATTAATGTTTTGAAATCTTTTTATATATTTACTTTTAGTAGATGTTTGATGAATTTTAACCATATATTTTGGATGACATAAAACAACGGCTCGATTACTGCCAAACCATAATTCAAGTATATCACCATATTGAGAGTTGAGTGATTGAAGTAATTCATCCATTCCTAAAGGACGTAAATTTATTGCAACCATACGATAACTTGTACCTACAAATGGCAATGGGATAGGTCCTGGTAATTTATTTGGACGAGTATAATAAACATAGTAAAAACGAAAGATGTAAAATACGAATAGAATGGTAAAAACAGTAAAAATATCAGAAAAGGAGATAGATTTTAAAAAAGGAAATAAAATTAATGATATTAGCAACATGATTTATATATATTTGTGTGTATTTTATGAACTTATAATTGCTTTGAAATTCTCAATTTTTACGCTTAGTCTTGACGACGCTGGGTTTATATAAATTTTTAATAAACCAAAGATTCATATGAAATATATTAAATTTATTTATTTTAAGTACGTGTGGTGTCTTAAGTCCATAATTACTCATACACATTAATATGATATCATTATTGTTCTGTAAAGAATCTGATATTAACTGTTAACGGGAATCGCAATATAATACGCACACGCACATACATCATCGACGCACCAAAATATTTGTCCCACATGCTAAGCACAAATT